ATCCTCTACAGTCAGACTCTGGTACTGCAGAGCAATGCTTAGAGAAACATCCAGACTAGACTTGCCCAGGTCAAAGACCCAGGGTAGTGCCCAGATGGCAGGCTTACCCTATAGCCAACAGGAAAGCATTTTACTGACTCAAAGTGACTCCCACCAAGCCATGATGCTGGAAGTGACGCCCACACCCTAATGGGTTCATCTTCCTCTACTAAGGGTGCTCAGCTGCAGTCCTGACTTCTAGCCGAGTACCATCCTCTACCTCCCCAAGTCACACAGATCTGTATTCCCCAGGGACACACTGAAAGCCAGAGGAACCAGAATCTGGCTGGCTTTGTGGTCTCAGTCTCAGGCTGACCCCTAGGGGACAGCTGGAGCACAGCAAGGTGCAGAGTCTGGTCCCTAACATTAGGATCTGCCTCTACCTGGCTCTTTGAAGATCTTGCCTCTGAAGAACTATGGCTTTGCCCCAGCTGTTCCAGGAGCCAGAATTCTAGTGAAGTCTGAAGATTCACTCTGCCTGGCTGGTTTGGTGATTCTCAGGAGCTCACAGGAAGGAGCTGATCCAAGCCCACCAAGCTGTCTGGCTAAAGCCGAACAAACCAGGTCGCCTACTAAGTCTACACATATACCACCTCAACTGGGTACTCCGGCCAGCTGAGCCATTTGTTAGGACTGAGCTGTGTGGAGGACAGAAAGAGGTTTGCCCAGAAGAGGCTTAAAACCCAAAGCCACCAACACATCCATATTATACAGTCCCACAGGAAGGAGTCAGGGTTGCTGTGATAACTGACTCCCCCAATCTTTCTACCTCCCCAGAACCTCTGGATTTTTGGAAAATAACAACAACAACAAAATATCACTTTACAAAAAAATCCTTCTTGGAGGGTCAGGTCCTCCAAGCCTATTTCTCCTCTTTGGTAAATGTGCCATCCTTTCTGGTAGCAGTTGAGATGGCATGGGTGCATGAAAGCATCTGGAGCCACGCGAGCTGGAGTAACCCAGGCATCAATGCATCTGTGTCCCAATGCCTCAGCACATGCTCTGTTTTAACTTTTGAAACATTGGTACCCCAGGGTAAAAGGGAAGCAGAGGCTTGCGGGGCGGGGTGGGGTTGAATCAGAACTAGACTTGTTGAGCAAGTCTTGCTTTATAATCAAGGAACCGAGGTTCTGAGATGTTGACGGGAACTTGCTGAGGTTGCATGGTTGGCCAGTGGCCAAAGTGAGGCATGGAACCCATTTTAAATGATGGTAAGGCCTACTTGCTCTGCACCCTCCACAAAAGCCAGACCCCAACAGACTCCTGGGTCACTTAGTGTCTCCCCCATATTGGGAGTTCTCTGTTCCAGATATGGTTCCACTGGCCCCAAATACATCCACCCCCCAGTAGGGCAGGGCTGGAGCCCTCAGCATTGGCCATGCACATGAGCTCCAGTTATCCTGGTCTACCCCTATGTGATCATACATAGGAGGAAGTATGTCAGGATGTTCATGTTGAACATAGTCTGGACACCTGACTCCAACCCTGGCCCCACACAGGCTGTGACTTTAGTCTCTGTCACCCTCAAACTGTTAAATAAAATTTACAGGTAGCCCCTAGTGTGTGTGACCAGGCCCAGGCCTCTGCACTATGCAGACTGGACCAGAGCCTGGTTTGGGATGATGTTTTGTGCTACCGAGACTGAAACTAAGCTGCTAGGTGGCCTTCCCAGAAACCAGGAGAGCTTTAGCTGGTACAATAAGGAAATCTGCTGCTCGTTTAACGGCTTGAAAAGAGCAGCTTGATGCTGGCCAATCAGCTCTGCCCTATTATTCAGCTTCCTTGTCCCTGTGATGGCTAACACTATGTTTTAAGTTTTAATTACTGCACTTAAGAGATCTATAAAACGAAAATGCCTCTAACCGGTAAGCTCCACTTGCCCAGGTATAGATAACTTCCTGGATTGCTGGGGCTGTTCATGTAAGATAACAAGTCATGTTTTTTCACTTCTGTGAGCAAGCTTGGTTGCCCCAACTGTACAGGATGTGTGCTTGATCACACATAGGAGGAAGTATGTCAGAATGCATGCTTGCCCCTGATTGGATGAAGGCAGGAAGTATGTAGCCTCGTGGGTTTTGCCTTTATAGCTCCTGACTGACATAATTCAGGGCCATACTCTGAGTATGAATCTCAGGTATGGACCTGGACAGTATCCATGGTCCTGGCCAGTATTTAGTAAAGCCTCTGATTTACTAAAATTTATTCATGGTCAGATTGGTGAACATCTGAACAACCCCAGACCCATAACAGTTCCCACCTTACAAAACCCACTGTTCTGTTCCTGTCCTAGACCTATGTGTTAACCTGCTGTCTTTGTGACAGAGGCCTAGGAAAATTGGAAGGAAGCGAGGGAGGGAGGGAGGGAGGGAGGGAGGACTTCATGGTTTTAGAGTCCCACTGGGTTCACTGCTTGGCGCCTGAGGTAAGATAGAGCAACATGGTAGTAGGAATACGTGGCAGAGACTGCAAACTCATGGTGTCCAGGAAGCAGGGGTGGGGTAAGGTGTGTGTGGGGGGGGGCCTGGTCTATCAGCTTTCCCTTTTCTTGTCCTTTTATTTTTTTTAAATTCATTTATTTTATTTTATTCGTGCTTTGCCTGTATGTGTTTTGTGTGAAGGCATTGGATCCTGGAGTTACAGACAGCTGTGAGCTGCCATGTGAGTGCTGGGAATTGAATCCCAGTCCTCTGAAAGAGCAGTCAGTGCTCTTAATTGCTGAACCATCTATCCAGCCCCCTTCTTGTCCTTTTATTCCAGCTGATGGGATGATGTAGCCCATATATCTAGGGCAGATCTCCTTTTAGTTAACCCTCTCCTGGAAACACCCTCCCCCATACACCTTGAAATGGCCTTCCCTAATCTAGGGGCTTCTCAGTCTGGCCAGGCTGGCAGGATCAATCATGAAAATCTAGGCAAACAATTACCACCAGGTTACATGCCAGCCCTGATCATCACTATCCTTCGATTATTTAGTTTTGTCTCTTGACAGTGCCTTGGCCTTCTCCAACACTCAGCTTGGCCACCTTCAGCATTGTGGAACCCCTTTCCTCCACCCAGTCCTGCCCATAAGAGCTCACTTGGCCTCCACCACCCAGATGCATCAATGAACCTGGTCATCAGTTAATGTGGTCCTAGACTTCTCCCATTTTCCAGGGGGAAGTGAACCCTGAATGAAGTACTACCCAGAGCCAGAGAAGTTTTGGAGCTGACTTGGGAGAGAAACCAAAATAGTCCTCCTCTAACCAGAAGTTCCCTGGAGACTGTAGATAGTGCATTTAAAACTGTCTCTGCAGTACAAAGCTATGTTTGCGAAAATAGCTCAATGTTTTATAAACACATCATTGGTAATAGCAGCAGAATGAATTGAAAGAGAATGATATATATGTATACACACACATATACACACATATATGCATGCGTGCACACGTGTGCACACACACAGTATATATTTATGTGGGAACAAGTATGTACAGAAGCCAGGAAACTAGAAAGGTCTACAAGAGGGGACAACAGAGGCTTTGAGGGAAAGGGAGAGAAATAACAGAACATACATAAAGTGAAAGTAACAAGTGGGGACACTAGGGGCAGAAAGGGTATGTGGGGGTATGTGGGGGTATGTGGGTATGGGGGAGCAGAGAGAGTGGGGAGAGGAGGATGGAGGTCAACTAAAAACAAGGATATATGAAATACAAGTAAAATTAGAAACAAGTGGTGGTATTTGCTCTCTGTGATGACTGTTCCAGGCTGTCAGCTGTACACACCTGGGAAGAAGAGACTCCTCGAATGAAATTTGCCTCCATCAGATTGAACTATGGGCTCGACTGTGAGGCATTTTATTGATTCCTCACTGATGGAGGAGGGTCCAGCTCAGGGTAGGTGGTCCCAAGTCATTCGAGGAAGCAGAAAGCACACCAGTAATCGAGGTACGCCCACAGCCTCGGCCTCACCTCCTGCCTCTGGGCTCCGACTTGAGGGACTGCTTGGTGCTTCCTCCATGATGGAGTGTGAGCTCCATGACTTATTATTATTTTTTTTTTACGAGACAGGGTTTCTCTGTATTGTTTTGGAGGCTATCGGTCCAGCCCAGCCTCGAACTCACAGAGATCCACCTGCCTCTGCCTCCCGAGTGCTGGGATTAAAGGTGTGCGCCACCAACGCCCGGCTCCATGACTTATTTTTGGTCACGGTGCTTATCAGCAGCAGAAATCGAAGAGACACAGAGTTTTTGGAGCCCTTGGTATTTCCTGATAGGAGTGCCGTTTATGTCTAACTTCCTGTTGCCTACACCTGAGTTTATGCCAGTGAAGCGACTTAGAGTGGTACTTCTCGATGCCACAGCCTGGGGCTGGTCAGAGAAAGACCACACTGGGGACTTTCAGCCCCCCCAACTTCCCACCTCTAGGTGGAAGAGGGGACTAGAGACTGGGTTGTGGGAAAACTAATTTTTAAAAATTTAAATTTTACTGACGTACTTATTTGTGTGTGTGTGTGTGTGTGTGCATACACACACAAAGTGACTCGAGAGAAAAGGAAAAGAACTGCCCTGCCCACCTGACCTCCATCCTCAGTTCTCTCCAGGGACTGGGTTTCTCCTCAGCACCACCAGTGAGGTGGAGGAAGGCACTATGCGGCCCCAGTCCCTACCCCACCAGCCTTCCTGAGGCCTTCGCTGTGCCTATTCCAAAGTGATTGCTTTTTCTTTTTCTTTTTTGTTTCATTTTGAGACAGTGTTGCTATGTGTCCCAGGCTGGCCTCAAACCTATGGCAATCTCCCTACCTCAGCCTCCAGAGGCCTAGGGTTAGAGGTACGAGCCACCTTACCTCGCTCTCGTTTTTTGTGACTTTGTAGCCAGAAGGTCATTGGAGGAAGCCCCAGTCCTTCCAGATGCCACAAAGTCAAGCCCAGGTGGGAACAGTGAGAAGGACAGGCAAGCGCGGGAGGCCCCGGGGGCAGCCCTTACCTGCTCCACACAGTCTGGGATCTCTGGAGAACATGGCAGGGTCCCTGCGCTCTCCACTGACAGCACATCCTTCAGCAGCTCCTCGCACCCTGTGGACAGACAGACAGTGAGTGGTATGGGCCTCAGCCCACACCGGTCTTGGAGGGAACTGTTGGAGGAAGCAGGTGGCCCATGTCTCCAACACAGTGGCGGGGCGCGGGGGGGGGGGGGGATGGGGGATGGGGGCGCGGGGGGATGGGGGTGGGGGGTGTGGAGGTGGGGGGGCGGGGGAGGGTGCCCAGCTGTGTGGGGCTGGCTCAAGGCACTACACAAGGTGCAGAAAGGCACTTGATGAGAACGTCCTCCCTCCATGGGACTAACCCCTCCATGGGACTAACCCCGTGGGGATGCAGAGGAGACACAAACAGAGGCAGGCTGAGAACAGGGAAGCACCCAGGCTAGGAAGCACTTCCCTGTGCGAACAGGGGCTCCCCACCAGCTCTAGACGGGGCCACCCTGGGAGGTCAGCAGGCTCCTACACCCCGCTGACCAGTTACACAGGCGGCCTCTGTGCTGGTTATGCTGAACCAGGGCCTCAGCACAGGCACAGGGCAGCAGTGGTCTAAGCCGGCCCACAGAATCAAACAAATCCCTGCAGAAAATCTTAGTAGGGGTTTCTCTGCTGCCTCAGCCTCCCCGGTGAACTTCCGGTTACTTTCACTTCCACTTCAGAATTCTGACTTCTACGACTTTCTCAAAACTGACTTGGGAATTTTGAAGGAAAAAAAAAAAAAAAAGGAAAAAGGAATGGGTGAAGGAAGGAATTAGGAAGGGCTAAGAGGAGAGAGAGCAGTTAATACATAAGGGACCCTAAGAGCAGAGAGACACGGTAGCCAGCTCCTTCCAGCTGTGGCCAGAACTGCATTCATTTGACTATTTTTTCCTCTCCCATTGCTGGCAACGGGTGCCCAGACCTCTGCGCTAGTCAGACTAGTCAGACAAGCTACTTACCACCGACTGAGCAAATCCCAAGCCCTCCCTACAGAGCCAAAGTGGGAAGTCCAGGGAAACTCCTCCAGAGCATAGACATTCTAGCCAGAGGTGACAAGAGCAGTTCCTCAGAGGTGCAGACAGATTTGAGAGGGGCAGAAAGGCCGTCCTGCCCCTGGTAGTGGGGCTCTGTGGCAGAGGTTCAGAGAGAGCCACAGCTCCACGCCCCACCCTCGCCCAAGACCTTTTTCCTCCAACCCCCATGGGTCACTAGGAACAGAGCCCATTTCTGGGACCCACCCTGGGCTCTGGGACCCCCGTGTGCTGGCCTCCTAGCCAGACAGGACCCCAGAGAGGACCTCACCTTTCATGGCGAACACTCCTCGGCAAAAATCCTTGAAGTTGATTCTGCCCAGGTCATTGGGATCCAAACACTTCACAAGTTTTTCCACCTTTGGGAAGGAAAGAGGACAGGTGTGAAGAACCCTGGATACCCCAAGGCCCAGGGCATTGGGCAGAAGGTGGGATGGAGGAGGGCTGGTCTTGCCAATTGAGCCAAAAGGACACCAGTGTTACCAACTTAACCTTTTTACCTGGGATCATGTTATTCTGGCCTATTTAAGACTCAAGTAAGAAAAAGCAAAGACAGCCGCATCCATGTAGGGTCCCAGAGGCTCCTCCAAACCCCACTCCAAAGGCAGCACACTGAAAGCCAACACTCGGCTATCAGGTTCACTGTTTGTCTGTTTTGTAGACAGGGTCTGGCTAGGTCACCCAAGCTGACTTAGAACTGAGTTCTCCTGCAGCTACATCCCCAGCCTATGAAGTTCACCTTCTTGACCTTTTTCCCCCCAAATTAGCTTGCACCTTAGTAGCAGCCTTCCAAAGCATCCATTCATTCATTACTCATTCATTAAACAACTGACCACTGTGTGCCTCCTACTTGCTTGATACTTGACTAATGTTGATGGTGGTAGCTAGCTGGTTACTCATGGCCACATGGCCACATTCCCACACTCATGCACCTCATTAGGCAACTTCCCCCAGTCATCACCATCTTTGGAAACTGTCACCCATGGTAGGGTGACACTTTCTGGTGATGCAGCTGCTCTGGGGTTACCCATGCTTCATAGGTAAGCCCAGGGAACTCAGTGGTTCCCCAAGTTGTACTTCGGTTTGTCGTTGGTGCCCTACATGATGCAGAGCCAGTGTCTGTGTCCGTCTTCCTTGGGAACGGGTTGAGAAAACAAGGACAAGCTCTTTCTGGAACTCCCTCTGGCTGTGCTGCAGGTGTGGGTATGAGAGCATACCCACAGCACGCAGACCCAGCACGCAGGACGGGGATCTGTCACTGCTGTGGTGTTGGCAGCACTCCAGCCAGGCCTCTCCTCCCTCCCCCTCTGCTTGTCACATGTGCCAAAGCACAGGCAGGTGGGGAGACTCACCCGCTCACAGACTGTGCTGCCCGTCCTCAGGACGCTTGTGCAGCAGGCACCTGAAGCCCTGGCCACTGCAGTAGTCCAGCGTCAGAGATGGGGCCCAGTGGGCCTCAGTGAGCACAGATCTGACCATCTCTGCATCCCTGTGCATGGTGGCTGTGTGTAGCTCTATTCCAGCTGGCCCTGCTTTTCCACTCTGCTGAGGCTGAGGCTGAGGGATAACTCAGGGGCTATGCAATGCCCTAAGATGCTTCTGAACCTGGTACCTAGTGAACCATCCCTCAGATCCAGGTATCCTCATCTCTAAGGGTAGGATGCTATAGCAGAGTTCCAGCAAGATCCACAGCCCTGTGCAGTATCCACAGCTAAGGAAGTTGCAGCCCCTTCCCCTCCGCCTCCATGGGGCTGTAGAATTTCAGGTAAGAGGGAAAGAGGCTGTTTGCCAGCTCACGCCTGGCCAGAGCGCCCTCAGCATTGCAGCTGTCAGCCCTATGCCCACCCCCACTACCATGGAAGCCACTGACATTGCCAGGCAATGACGTGGCTTCTGAGAATAGTACTGCCCAGGTGCCACCTGCAGGCTGTGGGGGAGCTCACCCACATCTCCAGCTGGCCACCCTCCCCCTCTCCTCCTGCTACCCCCTCCCTGCTGTACAGACAGCCTCTGGATGTAAGGAGGCCTGGGACATCCTAACTGAACCCCCCCACCAGCCTCCAGGACCTTACCTCTAAGCCCTCCCCAAGGTCAGGGGCTATGTCTTAGTTATTTTGGGAACAAGTCCAAGGCATCTACTCCAGAGCACCCAGTGGCTGAAGATGAGCTCCAGCCTCACATGCTATGAAGAACAGCAGGATTCTGTAATCCGTGTCTTTAATCCCCAAATCCCTAATGCCTGGGGCCTAGGGACATCACTGGGTCAGTCTGTCCATCCTCTGCTTCCAGAGAAAGCTATCACAGAAGTGGGGGTTGGGGGTATCTGATGACAGACAGAGAAATGTGAGGTTCTCAGGATCACCTACAGTCCACAGCAGTGCTTCTCAACCCTCCTAAAGTTGTGACCCTTTAATACCGTTTCTCATGTTGTAGTGACCCCAATCATAAAATTATTTTCATTGCTATGTCATAACTGTAATTTTGCTACTGTTTTGAATCATAATGCAAATATCCCATCTGCAGGATATCTGACATGGACCCCCTGTTTAACCTCCAGAGGGGTCATGACCCACAGGTTGAGAACCATATAGATGTGTTCCAGACTGTAGTTATGGGCTCACAATTTCTGTGACTCCCTTCTCTACAGCCACTCTCACAAAGCTCTCAAGGATGGAAGTCCTAGGGCAGTGACCATGCTTGCTATAAGACAGCATTGTAGAAACAGAATAATTGGTGAGTTTTTACATCACATACAGTTAGCATCCATAAAGACCACAACCATGGTTGCAATGACTTTTTAAATGAGATTCTAGCAGTGATGTGTAGAGAGTGCTATGAAAAATCCTTGCTAGGCCCAAGAGGGCTCACTGTGAACCATCCAAACTGTAGCTGCTATGACAGTCCCCATGCTACAGTTGAAAATCTGAGGCCCACAGAAATTAAGCCACTTAGGCAGTCACCATGAGCAGGAGCTACTTAACCAGGTCCTCCTGACCCCAGAGTATCAGCGGCTGCAATATACTGCTGCCTTGTGTGTGTGTGGCCTCTACTGGGTCAGAGTCGGGCTCTCACTAGCCTGTGTGCATGGAGTACTGATTCAGCTCCCCTACACGCTGTGTATGAAGACAGCTCTAGGCTGGGGATGTCACTCCGTGGGCATGTGCAAGCCCTGGCCTCCATCCTTAATATGGTCAAAGAAAAACAAAGGTGCTGGAGGATTGTATTTGAAGTCATCCTAGGCTACAAGAGAGACCTTGTCTCAGAAAAAAACAACAACAAAGCAACAACAAAAAACTCAGCAAAACCAAAACACACAGAAAAGGGAGCAGGGGGATGCTTGGCGTTGACACCAGCAATCTGCAGTGTATCTGGGGCTGTGTCCGCCGACCTGGCAAATCCCAGGATGGGGAAGGGCTCCCTCATATCAGGGAGCACAGCAGATGACACTGATAGCCAGCATGTATGGATGTCAGGCAGTCCCGGGCTCCTCCGGCTCCCAGGGCTGAGAAAGCAAGCTCCAGGCCCAGCAGGGATGATGGGAGCAGCTGAAGTGCGCACAGCTGGACCAGCAGCTTGCTGCCAGGGTAGCTGGTGGTTCTGCTGGCAGAGAAACACCGTTCTTTCATATTGGGAACCATTCAATTACCAGGCTTCCCTTTCTATTTCTGCGGCTCTTCTCTGCAGGCTGATTTTCTCCATTCATCCCCAGAGTCACATCTCCCTGATGGATGCTGCGATGCCATGAACCATGCTGCCACCGTGAGCCACACTGTCACCTACTCACTGCAAGAGCTCCCCCTGCCCCCAGCTGCCCCCCAACACCTCCCCCATGCAGGCCTGGCAAGCCAGCAAAGGCTAAGGAGCCGTTTGCACCTGGAGGTCTCAGCTGCCTCTTTGAACAAGGAGATAAGCAGGCTTAGCCTCGGCTCTCAGCACCTCCAGGTGCTGAATGAATACTAGCCGTTCTCACCAGAACAAGTGCCAGGCACTGTCACTCACTCTACAGACAGAGTTATTTCACCCTCACAGGCCTCTGGATCCTGAATAGAATTCTTATTCCCATTTTACAGATGAGGAAATACACAAGGCTCAGGCATTCGGGGTTAAGGTCATACAGCCACGAGGAGGCAGCTGAGCCCGGGCAGCTCCCAGTAATTACTGCTACTGAAATAATTATTTATGATCACTTATAAGTTCGGGAGCTTGCTATAAACAGAGAAAGAACAAACCTAAGAAATTTTGACTAGAAAAACTGACACCAGTACAGAGAACCCTTGCTTCAGAATTTGAATATTTAAAAAAATTACTGCTAAAAGAAATATTGCTAGCTAGCATTCCAAGCAGATGGTAGACTTCAAACCTGTTACAGAGATATATAGCCTAGTCCACACGGGAGACCTGTCTCAAGCAAACCCTCCAAACACAAATAAAACCAAGGAAGAGGCCTGGCTCTGGGTGAGCGAGAGTAAGCACCCCACTCACAATTATATGCATAATTAAAATAATACAATAAAGTTAAAAAAACTCTTACTAGCAGGACATTGGTGGCACATGCCTTTAATCCCAGCACTAGGGAGGCAGAGGCAGGCGGATCTCTATGAGTTCAAGGCCAGCCTGGTCCACAGAGTGAGTGCCTTATAAGTTCAGGAGCTTGTTCCAACCAGAGAAAGGCTCCAAAGCTACACAGAGAAACCCTGTCTTGAAAAACAAAAAACAAAAACAAACAAAAAAAAAACCCCTCTTACTAAATAAAGTAAGGCTAGTCCTATCCCAGAGAGATAAAACCCTATTTACAGACACATGAACTGTGCACAGATGTTTGTGCAGCTTCCTATGTAATTGTTCCAATCTTGAAACATCTTGCCTTTCTATCTTCCTATGTAATTGTTCCCGTCTTGAAACATCTTGCCTTTCTATCTTCCTATGTAATTGTTCCAGTCTTGAAACATCTTGCCTTTCTATCTTCCTATGTAATTGTTCCAGTCTTGAAACATCTTGCCTTTCCTCCGAGTGGGCGGTAAGCAAAGTGCACTGTAATGGGAAGACACAAACCATAGCTGTGCCCGACACGGCAACTCTCAGATCTGTTCTGCTGAGAAAGGCATGGTCAAAAGGTACCAACGCTGGGGGATGGCTCAGTGGGTAAGAGTTTGCTGAGCCAGCATGAGGACCTGAATTAGAATTCTCGCATTTGCATAAAAAAGCAGGGCATGGCTACATGTGCCTATAATCCCAGCATTAGGAGGCCGAGACAGATCCTGTCCAGGTAGCCTAGCTGAAAAGATTCAGGTCCAGTGAGAGAGAGAGAGAGAGACTCTGCTTCATGGCAGTGAGGTCAAGAGTGACAGAAAAAGACATC